TTCCCTCTGCTCAGCTTCCAACTTCCTCTTCGGCTTCCTCAGCCTTAAGAATTTCAGCTTCAGCTGGAGTTGCATACTTCATGTGAGGGTCTTCGGGATTCTGGACCCACTCAGCACATTTAGACCAGTCCAGCTTCGGCTCAGCATGAAGGCAGACTCTTCGGCATACTCGGAATCCGTTTCTGAAACCCATCTCATATTCCTCTTGGGTATATACACGGACATTGAGTAAAGCCTCAGCATCAGCCAGCTTCTTCTGGGTCTCCTCCAAGTCTTCCTTGGATTTCTTCAGCTCATCAGCGACTTGGGAGGAGGAACCTCTCAGCTCATTCAGCTCTTGCTGAATTTGGAAAGCCTTTGTCTGGGCCTGGGCCACTTCAACTTTCTGGATCAGCAATTGATCCTTAGCCTCTTGGAATTTAGCTCTTTGGGCTTCAGCAGCAGCAGCAGCCTCTGAGAGTTGGACGTCTTTGGCCAGGAGCAACTCTTCAGCAGCCATTCGGCTGGCTTCAAGAGCCTCTAGACGCTGCTGTACTTCAGCTTGTGCAGCAGTTCCTTCTTGAATTCGGCTCTCAATAGCAGCCTTGAATTTGGAGACGTCCACTCCCATATGCTCCTGGAGGAATTTTTCCCCTTCCATCAGTGGGGGAAAAACCTCCATCTCCATAGCATCGCAGAAGGTTTTCAGAGCTTCGGCAGCTTTTTTACCGTACTCCTCAACCTCCTGCTGCTTCTCTTCAGCTGCTGCTTGCTTCAGCTTAGCAAGCTTAACTTCCTCTTCAGCCACCTTCCTTTCGTGCACAGCAGCGTCTACCCTATCTTGTAGGGTATCAATCAGCTCTACAGTGAGAGTCTGATTGTGCACGAACTGAAAACAGGAAGACAAAAAAAAAAAATAAGTAATAAGAAAAAAATAGAGCTGAATTTCGGAGGAAATGAAGGAAAATTACCTGCATCATCAGCAGTTGGTTAGACCTGGCTGGGTCAGGAACTGATCTACTGGATTCGCCCATCCCAGCAGTGGCCTTCAGCGACCAGATCCTTGCCCTGTCTACTTCGGACATGCCAGCAAAACTGCCGAAGTAGGCTTCAGCTCCTTCTCGGTTTTGACCCCATATGAGGTCCCAGATGTGATCTGGGATTGGAATTCGGGGGGCCGAGAAACCCATTTCTCCAGAATGCAGAGTCTGGAAAGAAGGGAAGGACGACGATGGAGCTTGATTAGCTTTGGTTGTCTCAGCATCATCCTTCTCAGAGGAGTCAAGTACTATGACCTCCTCTTCTTCAGGGGTGAGGACGAAAGCCTCAACCTCTCTGGCGATATCTGCCGTGAAGCCCTCAGCACTGGACATCACGGCATCTTTATTTTCGTGCTCAGCAGCACTCTTCTTGATTTCTTCTTGGACCCCTCCCATAGGTTCGGGAGTTCTCTGATCCACCTCCATCTCAGGAGGTGGCGGAGGGGTCTTTTGAGGAGATTGGGGTGTTGGCTGGGGAACCCTCGGCGATCCATTGCCTTCCTCAGGTTCCCTTATTGCGACGCCGATGGTCATCGGCCTCTGCTGAAAATCATGAGGGCCGATGATGGCCATCCTTCGGCGCCTTTTCAGAAGGGGCTGCTCGTCCATATCTGAGTCTGAAGACTCTTGTATTTGATCTTCGGGACGAACAGGAGCTTTGCCTTCTCTGTGTCTGTTACTCTCTTCAGACTGTAACAGACAGGGGGGAAGAAGAGTGTGAGTAAAAAAAAAAAAAAAAAAAAAAAAGAAAAGAAGAAATGAAAAAAAAAAAAAAAAAAAAAAAAAAGAAGACTCACCGAGGTTTTCAGCAAAGCCTCGTCTTCTTCAGCTGCTCTAGCTGCAGCTTCGGCTTCAGCAGCTCTGGAGGACCCTTCTCCTCCTTCACAAGCCTCAAGTACCCGTGCAACCTCTTCGGCTGTGCGGGCAGCTTCAGCTTCTTCGTTCAGCAGCTGAAACCAAGGGTCTCTCTTCTTCCACCAAGGCTTCTGCCTCTGATACAGAGCAACAGCCTCAATTTGGAAGTGGGAAGAGTCCAGATGAACTTCCCTATGCCTCGGCTCAGTGATAGACGGGGCCCGTTCAGTTACAACTCGCTCTCGGTTAACACCAAGACGAGCGTAGTTAATACCAACGTTGGTCTCGTCCCGCTCTGAAAAAAGGGAAAGGGGAAAAAGTTTAGCTCAGATATGTTGGCACAGCATAAAAAAGCAAAGCGAGAGAAGAAAAAGAGGTAGTTAAAAGCCTCGGCCCCAGCCGAAGAAGCTTACCATCCTTAAACTTTCGGCTGAGGCCAACAGCTGCTAGCATATTCTCTTGGAAAACGTAATGCGTATCGGGGAGCCAAGTCTCCGGGATATGCTGCATTCGACCACTCCCCCCCGGGTTCGGCAGCTTGCCGAAGATATGTTGCTGATCCAGGTTCGGATCCGCCCCGTTATCTGCGGGGGACCTAGACTTCCCATTTCGGGATCAGGCTCAGCTAAGTACCGGGGAGCGCTGAAGGCGCAAGGGTGGCCCGGATCTGTGGGTGCCCTAACCCAAATCCATTGACCTCTCCAGTCCTTGTCTGAAGAGTCATTTGGCCACATGGTCAAGTATTGGGGCCGGGACTCAATCCGATACCACCCAGAACCATGGCTTCCGTGCCCACTCTGAATATTTGGCACTAGCCGATGGAGCTTTCTGAAGCAGTGCAGGTTCGGCACGTATTTGAAGAACTTGCAGACCCATAAGTATGTCATCACCCTTCGGATGCTGGTGGGGGTTAGCTGACATAGGGAAATGTTGTAATGGATCAGCAAGTCTCGGACGAAAACGTCCAAAGGGAACCTCAGCCCATACTGAAGCTGTCTCGTGTACACCCCCACATACCCCGGGGGTGGACGATGGATTCTATCGGATGCTGAGGGCATTCGGCACCAATATCCATCAGCTTCAAAAATGTCGTAGTGCAACTCAATTTGCTCAGCAAATCGATATTGATCGGCGTTCTCTACCCACCATGAGTAGGGGCGGTTCTTTATCATGGCCGAAGCGACTTCGGCATTCTCCCACTCTGAAAACCCAGGGAGGATATCCCAAAGGACAGCGGGAATTTCATCGTCCCGTCCAGAAGCACTCGGCTCATCCGTTCTTTGAGGAGGAGCCGAGGAAAGGGGAGTCGCCCTAATCCCTTCAGCAGGGTCAGACTCCGGCCTTCGACCATTCCAGGTCCCAATCCTATTCCTAGGATCGGGAATCGGCCTTGCTCTTCTTGGAGCACGGGCTCTACCTCTAACTCCTCTTGCCATGGATTATTTCGAAGAGAAAAGTCGAAAGAAAAGGGGAAGGAGTTCGAATTCGAAGAAAAATAAACTGAAATCAAAGGAATTTACCTTAATCTGAAGCGAAAGTTGCCGATTTACGAGTTCGTAGTGGCAAGTCTCAGTTTCTAAGCTCAATGCTCGGGGGAATTTGCGAAGTTTTGATGCGGGTTCTTGGTTTCTCTCTCGAAGAATTCTGGGTTTGTGTTGGTGAATAAGTGAGGAGAATGACGCGCCTCTGTTTATATCTCCAGGTACGGGATACGAAGAGTCTGTGCTTTAATTTCTCTTAAGTACCCACTAAGTAACCATTAAACACATGTCTTGTGATTAAACCGCCCATTATCCGTCCAACTTCCGCAAATCATTAACCGTTGTTATCTCATTAATTACGGTTTAAATTCAAATTTTTGGATCAATTAAATCATTTACTTCCCTCCTTTTCTGAGTTAAATCAAACCCGACCCGTCATTCTTCCAAATCGGGTCTGGGGGGCAAGTTGTTTGGGTCCAATTTAGTCAAAATTGGGCCTGAGCACTAAATGATCCAATTAAAAGCCCAAGGTCAAGGTTCAACTCTCCAATTGCTCAAAAGTCAAAAGTCAGCCCACAAAGTAAGCCAATTGGGCTAAAGCCCAACCTCTCCAAGTATGACAAGGTATAAAAGCCATCATATTAACACATTCAAAAGGACATCACATACATTATCACATACATTATCTCATACACTGATTATTCCAATTCATATGCTCATTCTTGCATTGAGAAATACTCCACAAAAGCCTCAAGCTACAAACTCTCTTGCATAGTGTCTTCCTTTTTACACATTGTACTGACTTTAGCATCGGAGGGGCCTTCCTCGGAAACACCCCCGAGGCTAGTTTACGTGTGTTCACTGTGCAGGAAACCTTCGGCCCAACACAGCTTGGATCGAATCCAGTCTTCTCCATTTCAGTGGACCTTCGGCAAGGTCCCATTGTTTTCAACCGAAACACGTCTAATTTCGGCTCTTTAATAGATAGGAAGAATAGTTTAACATTATTAGATATTTGCTAGTATTACGTTATCTTCATTTTGCTTCAAATCAAATTAACTACAAAAATATCATAGTTCCTTCGTTTTAGTAATATTGCAATAACTGGACTATTACAGTATTCATCACGCTTGTTTGACCACATATTATGATTTATACGTAAAGTAAAATATAGTCATGTGGGGTCTTGTTAGATTCGTCTCGTAAAGTACTTTCACAATATCAATTTTTAATAATTTTAACTCTTATATAATTATAGATATTTAGCATATAAAATGTTCTTTGGGATGCGTAATTTCATTCTTGCTGCAATATTTGTGGAGCAGAGGAAGAATTAGTTTAATTTTCCTTTCTTAATAATTAAGCATAACCGCTGTTAAAAAAAATAAATAAAATATATATATATGGATGGTAAATTATAATCACTTGGGCTGGTATAGACCTATAGTTGTCTAGATAGTTTAATTAGTGCTAAAGAGTAAAGAAACAATAACATTGCAGCAATGCAGCTACTATGTATAATTATTCCTATATAGATTTAATGTACTGTAATGAATAAACCTAAACATTATTCGTTAACATTGGTAGAGAATGAGAAACATGAGTTAAGCAAAGAAAAAAACAACGAACAAAATGAAAAACTTACACATTCTGCGGCTATCAAAGTCACTCTCTTGGCCAAGTTCAACGTCCGCCATTGATTTAGAAGAACTAATACCCATGGATCCGTTTGCTTCAATTCCAGTACTAGATTATCTACGTTCCTCCCTTTGCTTCTTTTGCAACAACACCAACTACAACGAAGATAACAACAGCGACATTTGCAGTTTTTTTTTTTGAGTTTTTGCCTAACCTTGATTCAACAGTACAGCTTCTTACGGCTTACAGTACTAGTAGTATTAAATATATTGTGACAAGTGACAACGCATTATTGAATTTAGCATAATTATTAGTCAATACCCACTCTAATACAGTAATACACATGGTATTGATGTAATTTTAAACTAGCTAGTCAGCTGTGTAAGTTGGACAATTAGACAATACCTATTGTTTAATCTTTTTTTATTATTTTTTTTTATTAATTCATATACTACGTATATACTCCCTCCGTTAATTTTTAAGTGCAACTTTGGGGGATTTTACGGTTCACGAGGCAAAACTTGATAATGGTGATTAATGTATTATAGGGGTATGTAATTAAGGTGGAGAGAGAATGTTTGAATAATTAATCAACCACCCACTGCCACCACCAAGACCGGCCAACACCAACGCTGCCTTCACCAACACCACCGCCGGCTTCACCACCACCACTACCACCCCCACGAAACCACCACCACAACCAACCCCACGAAAGCACCACCACCCTCACGAAATCACCACCATACCACCCACAAAAAACCCAGGCCACCACCTCCAAACAACCCCACGAAACCCAAATCCACAACCACCCACCAAAACCCACCCACCAAACCCAAATCCATGACCATCCACCAAAACCCATCAACGGAACCACGAAAACGACAACCCACGAAAACCAACCCACCAGAAATTAAACCCCCAACTCAAACCCAAAACCACGACCCACACGGCCTTCACCAACACCACCGCCGCCTTCAATGCGGGCTTCACCACCACCAGTACCAACCCCACGAAACCACCACCACCCTCACGAAAACCCACGAAATCGCCGGTTGAAGTTGAAGAGAGAGAAAGAAGATCAATGGGGGAAGATGAGGATGACAGAGGAGAGAGCAAATATGGGGGAAGATGAAGATGAATGTCTCTGGTTTTGAAAGAGGAGAGAGAAAATATGGGGGAAGGTGAAAATGAAGATGAAGATGAATGAGGATGGTTTTGGGTTTCTTGAATTGAAGATGAAGATTTGATGAATTAGATTGGGTTGGTTGGGGTGAAAATTGGGTGAGAATTAGTGATTAATAAAATCTGATTATAGTAAGTAAATTGTGTTTTAATTTTTTAAATGAGGGTAAAATTGACATTTGACTAGTTCTTTTTTACTAAAAGAGGAAAGAACATAGAAAGTTGCACATAATGTTTAGCGGACCAAAATAGTAAAAGTTGCACATAAAAATTAACGGAGGGAGTATTTTTTCTAGAGAAAGTATTGGGTGCGGCAAGCCGCACCAAACAATTCGTGCGTCAAATATATATGATATGCAATATTTGATCAGGATATGTATTATTTGATAGAGGATATGTACAACTTGTTAGAGAATACGTGTTATTTAATAGAGGATACGTACAGTTTTGTTGTAGGATATGTATTGTTTGTTATAGGATATGTAGTATTTGATAGATGATATGTACATTATCTTTGGTAAAAGATACTACAGTTTGTTAGAGTATATCATCATATAGCCAATAAAGGATATCGTCCAGCATATAGATGATATCATCCAGCCTATAAATGATATTATAGACACAATTATAAATGATATCATATCGTCAATAGAGGATATCATTCAGCCAATAAAGGATATCATAGACACAATTATAAATATATCATATAGCCAATAGAGGATATCATCCAGCGAATAAAGGATATCATAGACACAAATTATAAATGATACTCCCTCCATTTCATAATGTTAGTCCCATTTACTTATATCGATGCAAATTTTTTATCGCAAATATCTTTAATCTCACAATAGTAAAAATTATAAAAATTAGATATTAATGAAGTACTCATCGAGACGAATAAATATAGATCTTATAAGACTGTTTATTCTTATATAGGGAGAAAAATTTAGAAGGTTCTCTCTACTAATTTTTAATAGTCAAAAGATTCTAAATGAGACTAATATTATGAAACAGAGGGAGTATCATGTAGCCAATAAAAGATATCATCCAGTCCACTGATGATATCTTATACACATTTGATGATATCATCTAGCTTATATCATAGAACCAATAGAGGATATCATCCAACTTATGAAAGATATCATAAAAACAATAGAGGATATTATCAAAACAATAGAGGATATCATCCAACTCATAGAAGATACTCGTATCTTAAAAACAATAAATGATATAAAAAAACAATAGAGGAGATATCATCCATCGTATGGATAATATTATAGACACAATACATGATATCTTCCAACTTATAGAGGATAACACCAACTTATAGATGATATCATCCAACTTATTATAGATGATATAATCTACACAATATAATTTATTTTATAAAAATAATTAAAAGGTTACAATGGCGAAACCATCATTGAAGGTCCTGTACTAAGCTCGTGGGTATAACATAACATGCTCATTTCTCAACCAAAATACATGCTTTTGTTATCAAAACGCTCATAATTCAACATACAATTACATAAGACAATCAATTTCAACAATTATACATCACCCAAGAAAGCCCCAAATCGATTTTTTGGACATTTTTCAAAAAATCCGAAAATCTTAAGCAATTATCAAACCAATTCAAGCATAAATTATGGACAAATATAATCAACAATCTATATTTTCTCTCTCCTCTCCATCCTCTTCAATTCAAGCATAAATCATGGACAAATAAAATGGAGGAATTTAGCAGAAAGTTGAGGAGAGAGAAAATAGGGGTGGGTCAAAGGTGAGAGAGGAGAGAGAAAGTGAAGTAGGATGTCGTGGGAGTACTCTTGGTGGTGGTGAGTGAAAATGAGGGTGTGAGAAGTTTGTATTGCCGTACAAATAATAGCTGGACAGACGAAATGTCTGGTCAGGTTGGACTGACCCAATAGTTTGTGTTTTTTCAATCCTTATGATTTTACAAGTTTAAGGAAGTTCCACGACCTTAAAGCCATTTGACAAATAGATCTGGTTAAAGAGAGTATGAGTTAAATTTGACTCTTTAATCTTTTGTCCAACCCATATCTAACTTGAGTTACATTGACCAAACCAAACCCGACTCAAGCAACTGAATTTCAGCTCTAACTATTATCCACTCGAAAGAGAGTACTTCTTTGTTCCCTAAAGAGCGATCCATTATATTTTTATGTGTCAAATTTTAAAAAGTTTAACCACGAACTTCACCATTATAAAAGAAACAATAGAATCATGTGGATTTATTTTTATACGATCTCTGTTCATACTATGCGCAGTAATGGCTTTGACACGGACTCCTGAGCAATTTTTTTGTGAGTGTTAAATCAAGAGAGAAAGATACATATGCATATACATATGCATATGATGAGAAGCGAGACTGAGAGAAATGACAACTTAAAAAGGAAAGAAAACATTTGATGCACATTATGTGTAGCATCCGTTTTTTGTAAATGTTGCACATAATATGAAACGGGGGTAATACTTTTTAATATCTAATTTTAGAAAATCAAAACCTTGTAATTTTTACTCATATTGTATATTTTAAAACGTATTTGAAGATCGTGAAATTCAAATAGGGATGAAATGGATACTATACAAGAATTCAAAAGGAAAAAAAACGTATTATACTTTGTAAGTATTTTTACTTTGAATAATTATCGGAACTTTGAAAAGCAGAAGAAAAGGCTTTGAATTCAATTTATATGTACTAATTAGCCGTTATGTAATGAACTTTAATCAGAGTACAGACAGAATACTAAATCACTAATTATTAGCTCATCTAAAATTTTCTAGATCTGTTTTTCCAAGAAGAATAGAACAGGTCCTTAATTAAATTCAAGTGGCTTCGAAAAACACGCTTTGGCTTTTTTTTTTTTTTTTTGTTTGGGTGCAAATTTAATTTGGTTAATGTGGTGCCGGAGTTGAAGCCAATTAGTGTGGTCGTAATCAATTTTATTAAGAAATGGTAATTGACCTCGACAGAAAGTTTAATGAATGTCCCAGTTGGCTTGATAGTTTGTATTTGAGAATGAATGGGCCATTAGCGTGTGCTGGCCACCTTGTACATCATATATCTTTATTTGAAAATATAATTATTTAGATCATCAAACCATATCTAGAATCATTAATTAATTAATTATTAATTATTATTAATTAATACTAAAATAGAAACCGTTGACATCATTATCTTCTTAAATTGTACATATATCATGCTCTCATAAAAAAATTTCCCGCCTAAATGTATTGATGACATTATTTTAATAATTTTTTTTTTCTTTTCTGCTAAATCCTTCCATCTATTATGCCTAGAAAATAGTACTATTCCCATTTCCCCCAACTATTGAAAACCCTTAGGGGCCGTTTAGTTCGCTGGAATGGGGAAAGGGAATGAGAATGATTCCCTTTGTTAGTGTTTGTTTTCACAATTTTGTCATTTCCATTCCCCCATTTTATTTTTGGGTTTACCCAAAAATCCCCTAAACCCATTCCCACTCCCCTACCTTTTGCATTCCCATTCCCCTTCATTACTCACGCCCTTTCTCTCTCCTCTCAAGCCTCTCCATTGCTTGGATGCTCCCTGCCATGGTCGAAGACGTTGCCGCCGCCGGTGAGCCACGGTCCGACCGAGCCTTCCGGTGTGCACGTCAAGATCGCGGGTGAAGCTAAGTCGAACACCGACGCCCCTCTCTCTCTCTCTTCTCAAGCTTCTCATGTAATTTCTACTCTTCTTCTTCTTCTTCTTCTTCTAGGGTTTCAATTTCTAGGGATTTCTGCAATTCCTCTAACTTGTGGAAGGGTACTACCAGAATTCGAGCTAATAGTTCTTGCGAGCAAGATACTGATTCTACTACACCCAATTCATCTTCTTCTTCTTCGTCGGAGAAAAACGACGCGAAACAGGGGAGCAAAGGGGCGTCGAATTCGAGCTCGTCGTCGCAACCGTCGTCGTCTTCTTCTTCTTCGCCGAGGAGAGAGAAAGAGGGTAAGAGTTGGTTTAAAGGTTTTGGGGGGAAATGGCGGTGGCAGCCATTGATTCAAGCTCAAGAAATTGGGGTTTTGATTTTGTAATGCAGTTTTCATTTTTTTCTTGAATTTATGTAACTTTGTGGATTTGTCTTGTTTTAAATTGATATTACTCTTTAATTTGTTCATAAGTGCCTTCATGGTGATTGAATTTTCTATAGAATTTGCCATTGTTGAAAGTTTTTTGCTATAGCACGAATGAATTTGTATAGAATGGTTTGATTCCCTAGTTTGAACAAAACAGTCACAAAGGGAATCAGTCAGCATTTCATTCCGTTTCCTGGATACAACCAAACAACTAGGGCAAATCAGGGTTAATCCATTCCTTTCTTCTTCATTCCCTTTCTGCATTCTATTCTGATTCCCCTGTGCAAACCAAATGGCCCCTTATTGCTTTTCTTCTTCCTCAATTACGTTGTTTTGGTGCCTCTTTCTTATTTCAATATTTAAATTTTCTCTCTGTTTTTTTTATTTTATTTTATTTTTTTATTTTTTATTTATTTTTATTTTTTTAATGTGTACAGTTATTGATTCCTTTGTTTTATAATTTTGATTAATATTCAATGTAACACAATTGTTTTATTTTTAAAAGCATTTCAATTAATTGTAAAATTATGATGCTTTTAAATTTGTAATATTAATCAATTTGTGTTCTTTTTGTTAAACCGTATATCGTACAAGAGTTAAACTAGTATATAATAAAATGACATGTATTCTCATATAGAATCTCGCTTGAGTACCAATTCAACCAAAAGTTGTTGCAGTTTCGAGATAAGTTTTAAAAAAGAACAAAATCTCATTGAACAATTACTGAGCTGTTGCAGTCATAAACTAAACTAAATGACCAAACCTAATCCAATTTTTTTTTTTTTTTTTTTTTTTTTTTTTTTTTTTTCCAAAAAAATATAGCATCCTCTTGAGTACACAAAGTAGTTAGAAAAGAGCTATCTCCACCTAATCCAAGTTTGTGGTGGTTGCACACACTAGGACATGATACCTTGGAGATCCCAATTGTATATTATTGGCGATATCTTTATAAGAGGGATACCATGATTGATATTCCTATAGACTCATACATTATTAAGAATAAGTTACATAATTAAGAAAAATTTAACTTATACACAGTATATGAAATAGTCCAAATAAAATCTCCATGTAAATAACTCAAACATTATTTTTGTTTCTAAGAGGCAAATATCTTAAAAAAGAAATGAAAAATCTCTATTACTGTAAGTCAAGGGATGATCATTGGCGGACTTGGCCTTATGCCTGGTGGGTCAAATGACTCACCAGGGCCCAAAATATTTTTTAAGTTTTTTTTAAAAAAATAAATAAATAAATTATTTTCTAAGTTTTTTTTTAAAAAAAAATACTAACTTTGAACCTTTTGTTAATGTTGTTGGGTTTTTGATGAAATGTGAACCTAATGCTTGTACAAATTTTAATCTTGTCAATTATTAGTTTGTTAATTATTAGAGAGCTAAGCTTGTCATGTTGTCAATTATTAGCTTGTTAATTATTAGTTTGTTAATTTTAGTCTTGTCAATTTTAAGCTTGTTAATTATTAGTTAGTACTGTAATCTTGTCAATTTTCTATTTGGATGATCTTTGTAAATAATTTCTCTTGGGAATTTTGGTAAATTTTTTCTTTTTACATATTTGGTTATCAATTGTGACTCACCAGTCGGAAATTCCTGGGTCCGCCACTGGGGTGATAATGTATGCCCTTAAATTTTACTTACTTTTTCAAAATAGTTACTGTATGAATTATGAAATTTAAAATAACCATCGTGCCATATAGATCTAGTTTTATATATATGTCATAACCAAGTTACCCCTCAGCCAATAAATCTCTCTTTATTTTCAGGTAATTATATGAGGATAATGAAAAATCCTTCCTTAGTGAAGTATGCGGGTACTTTGTTTGCCGAAAAGTCCAGGTCCAATGAGTTTGGACCTTGTAATTATTTGATAGAGAGGGATCAACAGCACATACAAGGTTACTGGCAGAACAAGGATCGAACCCACCGGAATCACAATTCGAGCCCTCAGATAACCGAACACAAGGTAGATTGCTGAGCTGAAGGCTATCATCATGCTTATTATGGAAATGAAAAGCATGCTCATTCCAACAACCAACCCCCTTGGTAGTGCAACTCGGAAGTCATCTTCTGAGTAACGCGATGTTAGGATTGACAAAAACATTAGTATGGAAGTGACCGAAGAGAATAGAGATATAGCGTCTGCCACAGCAAATACACCAAAGGAAGTATCATTAAAAAATTGGGAAAGGCCATCTTTGCTATCACCACCAGGAACTTTAAGTCCTGCATTGAACGCTACTGTTGCAATCAGTGTCGCGGCAACTGTACATGATTGTGCTGTAGTCTTCATCCATGCTTCTCCGTCTTTCATCAATTGTTCGTGTGCCTCCTTGAAAACCATCCATGGGTTTTCCCATCTTTGTTTATTGCCTCTTTTTGGCCAGGCTGCACAAACTTCTTCACTTCCTGAAAACATATACGGAGTTTACATTATGAATACTCGTATAAATTAATCGTGTTTGAGAAAACAAAAGTGGTAGAAGAATCAGCAAGCAAACCTTAAACCATTGCAACTCCCGTTGAACTTGTAAAGCTGCACCCGATACAAGATTAAGCCTGTCTGAAGATGGTAACTTGCCAGCCAAATGTAATATGTTATTATCATGCGGTGATCTATATATCTTGTGATTAGATGCTTGTAATCACTCATTTGATGTATAAGATTGAAAACATTTTCTCGACGATGTAAGACAGCAAGTTGAAACACGTTATGATTCTCCTCATCCGAAGCCCAAATTGCTGGAGGAAATACGTCTACAATCTCTTCTATAATTTCGTGAGTGCCTAAATTTGCGGCAATTAAAAGTGGTTGTTGAAATAAAGAGAAGGCTTTGGCATCGTCCAACTCTAATATCTCCATGCACAAGCTTTTGACAAGCTCAAGTGCGTCATGTTGCATCTGCGCTCTTTGTTGCAGTTTTATAGGATATTTAACTACAACAACACACACCCAAATAAGTACTTAATGTTAAAATACGGAGTAGCTAAATAGCTATAGCATTTCCCTTCCTAATGTAGGTATATTCGTGGAGCTTCAAATTAACTTTCTCAACAATCATGATCATTGTGCTTAAATCACTTTCCTATTGCATTATTGTGCAATTCTTTTTAGTGAAACAGGGGAAGTATTTTATTCCCTCCTTTTTCTCTATTAACTTTATATGTCTTCTTTTACTTGTTAAATAGGCAATTTTAGTGAAACAGGGGAAGTATACCAGTTTTGGGGTGTATTGTAAACGTAGTCAATATTAACAATGAATCAAGAATTTGGATTATAGAATAGCATACCATGATGATCATATAGTAGTTGCCAATGTGAAACAGCACCACTGGGGAAAGCATTAGTCTTTCTGGCTAGCACAGCCAACGGGGAACCCACACCATGTACCTCAGCTGTAGCCATCTCCGGGTACCGTTCAACCAAATAGAGACCAATGCCTGATAAACTCATAGAGATCAAAATATTAAAGATCATTTTCAACGACTCTTCTCTAGAGACTAAGCTATATTAATTAACCCCATTCGTTTTGAAATTCTTGTACTATTGTCCCAACATCTCATTATGATACATATTTTAAATTTTTATTAGAAAACCTTTCGATAACTTTGAACTTGTAGCACTTCCTAGGAAATAAAAACCTACATAAATAGCAAGAAATATTTCTAGCTAGGAAATTAAATGTTACTTCCAGTGTATGTTCACCAATAACTTAGCTGCTCGAATATTGCCAACCACTGCAGCTACTGATAGTGCAGTCTCCCATTTGATCAGTGAGTGCCAAATCTTCAGGGGACATCCTCCTTATCAATTTCTCCACAAACTCTAGATCTTTTCCTGTGCCAACCGCAATGTGAAGTGCTGTTTCAGACGCTATGGTGATCTTAGCAATTAGTGCTTCAGGTCTTCATCCAAGAATTTCCTGGCTTCATTCCAGTCACCTCTAACAACAGCTTTATACAAAGGCAGGTAACCTCCTAGGTCCTTCAACTTGTTCTCCACCCGCCCTCTGCACGCCGGCTCACTAGAGATGCCATTTACAAAATAAGTATCAGCATAAACATTATGTAAGACTTGCATTGTTTGATGCCATGGCAGCTTAGTTGAAATGCAAACTTTGCGGTAACTACTTCTACTCTCATCATCCCCCATCCCGTATTATTCTCATCATTTTCTTTATAAACTTGTGCCAAAATTGTTGTAACATTTCTATAAAAGATATGAACCTTCAATCTCTTTAATTAGAAACTTTTATATGCATGCACCTAGGTGTACGTAGAGGTAGTTGCACTAAAGGTTTTTTTTCGAGGGAGCCCTAATTTCTCATCATGAGCAACACTTTTGTTCCTCATAATGGCATTTTGGAAAATAATGTGATGTTTTTCACTAGTGGGGACCGTCTGTCAATTTTGGGTGGACCTCTCTACTCTTGACACATACCCCATGAGGAATAAAATTTGTTCCTCACAGTGAGGAACAGGGAATTACTCTTTTCTTTTCTTTGCTCATTTGATTTTTTTTTGTTAGCATGACCTATTTTAATATTAGTTAATAAATTAGATAGACACCTTTTTCCGTTGAAGAAAACAATTTCTTTAATGCTTATTATTAATTATCATCGTTTAGTTAATCCCTACGTACAATAATGATGCAATTATGCATCTAAGTATTAAATTAAATACTATTTCATACATTATTGATGAATCGTGAAAGTTTTTGGATGTGTGATACCCTCCTGATCTTCATCATTGGCTAATTGACTTTGACTTTAAAAAGGAATCTTTAAACTTGGATATATTGTAGAGTAATATAAAATTTTGCATTTATTTTGTTAATATTTGAACAGCATTTCTTCTTCTTCCTTTACATGGTTCTTGAATTTGAACATGCATGCAGCATACAATTACCGGATAAATTGATCGTTTATATTAGTGAAGCATAGAAGGCAAACCATAAATGTTTGTACGAGTAGACAAACATTTATACTTATTCTGATCATAGCACTAGCATTTATACTTATTAATAGAGAAATCTGTAGAAAAGAACAAACTTACAGAATCTAGCGCTACCATTGTCACTCTCCTGGCCACGTACGCCTTCGGCCCGTGGTCTTGATGACCAAACTCCCATGAATCCGGCCTGTGATTTCCCTACCTGAGTAGTGAGAAATTAAAGTACTATACTTCACTATTTTGAGCTATTTCTCAAGCCAAACTGAAACAGCTAGCGCAAATGCTGTTGATGACTCCTCTTTATAATTGTGGCATGCATTATTAAAATAGTTCATGGCTAATGACAACGCATTTTAATTAGTAAATTGCATATTTAATCCTGATTGATTAATAAGAGAATAAAACTTAGTTGGTACTTTGAATAGGTTATTTTTTTATGAGGAATCATCATTTATGACGACCTTAATTATCTAATTCAAAAATAAAAGTCAATGAATCAGTTGACTAGCATTGCCTAGCCCAATGGCCAGATTAATTCTTCTTATGTTCAGCCCAAGAGCCAGACACAATAATTCTTCTTAAGTTTAGCCCAGGCTAGGTGTTTGATAAAACTGAAGTATTGCGTTTGTCACTAGATCGAAGTCTAGAACAGAAAAAACTATTTATTTATTTTTTTATTTTTCTGTAGTAAAACAAATTAATAATCACTTGCTCTTTTTAGGCAACTTGGTAAAAAGTGAAGGAATGAACTAAGAATGTCTTAGTTTAGGAGTTTCCATACAAAAATCAATTGGCAATAGTAGGAGTAACTCCTCAATCTTATAAAGTGGAACTATCTCTCCGCTTTCTTTAATGTGGGACACTCACAACTCACAAGTGGGCTACAATGAATTTCAACACTTACGGAGTGCAAATATTTGTATGAACGAATTTTGTTTAAACATATTAACACGTTAAAGATAACTTGTAACCTCAAATTCACAAAGTTGATCGAACTCCCACCATTAAATCAACACAAGACCATGAGATCGAAAGCAGACAATATAAGGCCTTTTGTAAAGTATGGAGATAATTGAGACGGTTTATGTTTAGGAGATAGCGATATCTCGATAGAAAAGGCCAATAGTCCAATATCACTGCCACATAAATTCACTGCCACATAAATTTTAAATCCAATCGCCGTCCTATCACATAGAAAGATTAAGCTTAGCTCAACAAAGACCGAGTATATATTCAGGGATTAAACAAGCTTGTTGTGCTAAAAGATGTCAACTTCAATCTCAATCATCATTCCAAGTTTCCAACGTTCACTCTCAGGCAGTTAATTATTCCATTGTGCTATCGTTTTCTCTCTTGTGGTTGACTTTGATTTGTCGTCCATAAGCCATAGATAAGTAGATTAGCTTAGGGTACGTAAAATGACTCACCTTTCTTAACTAACAAACCAAAAAGAACTAAGCATGTTCGATAAAACGATCTCTCTTTCTTCTCTTCTCATGGTTTTGGTCGAGTTTGGCTATGATCACATTTGCCGCCACCCCTATTGCAAAAACCGGTTGCCCAACTAAATGCGGAAACTTAACCATTCAATACCATTTGGATTTGGGCTAGACGGAGCATGTTCCCTTAGTAGCATGTACATTATAAATTGTAACACCTCCTTTGACCCTCCGAAATCCTTCTTGGGTACGACTAACCTTGAGGTCTTGGATCTTTTCGATAATGTGCAGATGCGAATTCGAAACTATATGGCAACTAGATGCTACCAAGGAGGGAGATAGATAATTCCACTAGATCATTGCGTTCGGCATGGATAAATCTTGACGATTTACCACTCGTGTTTTCAGACATAGCGAACAAGTTTGTCGTTGTAGGTTGCGATGACTTAGCTTTGATCCAAGGCACCTTGGGTCGTTCCTCGACCCCCTTTACAAGTGGGTGTATTGCAGTGTGTGCCAGGCCAGATCAAGTGCTTAATGGATCGTGTACCGGGATTGGTTGCTGCCAAACATCCATTCCAAAGGGTTGAAAACGTTTTATAACATCCGTAACAAGCTTAGACAATCACACAAATGTGTCCTACTTCAATCCTTGTGGTCACGCTTTCCTGCGGAGCAGGATAAGTTCACCTTTAATCTAGCAAATCTTTCCGATCCAATGTTCATAAGCAGGATGAAGGATGAAATCCCGGTCATGCTCGATTGGTTTGTTGGAGTTAATCAGACCTGTAGTCAGGCCAAGGGGATCCGGCTACATATGCTTGCCAACAAAAATACGACTGTACCGATTTTGATAACGGATTAGGATATCGTTGTAGCTGTCTTTCTGGTTATCAGGGTAATCCTTACCTTAGCCCTGGTTGTACAGGTCAGTTCTTTCATGCATCAACCCTTCTTTTTTTTTGTCCGTTTTTAGAGTCTTACTTTTTCTTTTGACATATTTTCTTATTTTATTACCCGAGTATTAAATCTCTCTCTTCTCATGATCTCAATTAGTTTGACCAGTTTTAAGTTTTACTTGCTCTTATTATCAATTTAAAAATCATTGATCAAAGTTTCACATTAACAATTATGATGATGATCAAATGGGACATTTAAAAAAACAGGGGGAGTAAGTACTTTTTTGACAATATTACTACTATATTTTAATAAGTACATTTTCTAAGAATAAGTTTGAACATTATTTTGTGTCACAGTTGAGTGCAACTTAATTGAATGCAACTTTTAACAAAATAATCGCCTCACAACCACTACAAAAAAATGTCCATATAGAAACGGAAATCTAGCAATGGAAGTCGATCCATTTCTAAATTAGAGACGGAATTAAAAAATTCATCTCTAAATTAATTTAGAAACGGAATTTAAAAAATTCATTTCTAAAAAATCCGTTGCTAAATTAAAAACGGATTTTTTTTCAGTTGCTAAATTTAGAGATGGATTTTTTTTTTTCCGTTGCTAAATTAAGAGACGATTTTTTTTTTTCCGTTGCTGATATGAGCGACGG